TGCGTTAAACGTCACTAATATCTGTGTCGTTTACCTTGCTATCTGCACTTCTTTTGTATAATGAAAGACCATAGACCAATGATTAGGGGTGAACACATCGGGTTAACATTTTCTAACAAGTAAACGATGTTGAGCTGTCAATAACTCGCGCTTGTTGGCGGCAATTGTTCCTACAGATTTCATCAGTCCGTGCTTCTAACCAAAGTCACAGTCATCCGCGACCGAGAAGACATCGTTTTTGGACGCCAAACAGGACCCGGCCGTTGCACTTGTCGCAGTAGATCGTCACTTGCCGGTGCACTTTCATGAAGCGGGTTACAATTCCACTGGAAGTAGTTTCGTTGTACTGATCGACCACTGGATCGATATCTACCCGATAGGTAACGCCGGTTTTGCTTCGCGTAGTGGCGCTCCCTCATGTCGCGGGGTCATCATGCAGATGAAGTTTTCAACGGAGTAATCTCTTCCACCTATGCAGAGCAAGCTCGGTTAACAACTCTAATAAAAAAAATACCATAAACGAACGATAACCCAAACGATTGAACTATTCCACAAATGGTTTGGATGACATCCGACGTGTTAAGCATAATAACCATTACAATTTTATTTGGAAAGGTGCGGCAAGCTTTTACGTCGATACCGTGTGCAAATGGGAAATTAGAATTCAATCTAAAATTGAAAGCCAAACAGTAAAAAAAGTTGAATATTATATCCGATTAGCTGCACATAACATATACACACTTAATGTTTTAACTGGGTTTTTTTCAATTGCGGTCTGTTCGGTAAATTAATTTATTTTTTTTCCTTTGAACTGTTTTCCGTCGATCTGGTTTTCCGTGCTAAGCACCAATGCTACCGACGCCAGGGAGGCAGCTCCCACACCTGGACAATACGCTCGCAGCGAGACGAACCGACTTATGGGATGTCTCGGTGGAGTGAAAGGATAGTACGAAGTCCGCCATGTTTCACGCACTGTCTGACGTTTGCTTATGGATTTTACCATAGGAGTAAAGAGCTACAGAGTTGCCGTCAACGCCAATAGGAACACCGTGAGAACGAAAGAGTTGACTACATTCCTTCTGCCGCACCTTTAGTAACGCACACGGCTTCCGCGCTGACTGTTCCTTACTTTCTCACTCTAATCAAAATTACCTTCGATGAGTGAGAAAACAGCACTCCGACAACGCGAGCGAGAACGTAAGTTGCCAGATCATTGCACACAAAATCAACATGAATTAATTCAGTAGGACCAATAAACTGAGAGAATCCAATCTTTGCTTTTCTCATATTCAAGATTTTTTTTCCTGGAAAAACTTGAAAAACAAGAGTTAAATTTACTCATCGCTGAGTTCCTTCCCTTTTTGCGATTTATGAGTATACTAAACTCAAATTTGGGTTGATTTCTTTGGCCGTGTACAGCGAGTTTTTTTACATTTTTATGCACACGTTATTTCTAAACAATCCAATTTTAAGTAAAATCAACTCATTTCCGTTAGTAGGGTTACTCAATATTGATCAAACGCGCTGTTTTGCCCGTAAATTGAGAAATTCGCATAAACTTGGACTATACATCTAAAGCGGACGTTACACAGGTCAACACATTCACAATAATTGTATTCAATTTCCATTTCTTAAATATTTGGAGATGGGCAATAATAATGACAGTTTAAATTTATTTCATCAATATGTTTTACAATATAATTTATTTTATTTTTTTAATTCAACGAACTCATATTTCCAAAAAAAATCTTCAATTGGGCGACACTAAGGCAAGTTTGTTGGATTGTGGTTTTTTGGTACATACAAACATAGAAATAACTACTTTTACACGAAACGTAATCCATATTGGATGTAAATCATGGAAAGTAAACAAACATCTCACGTAGTTTCCGTCTGCGTGACACCACTTTTGAAGAAATTGAATCAATATTTTTTTCAAACATTGATTTTGGTACACTCCTTGGTTGATTGCAAAACCGCTACGCTTGAACCATGGCTTAAAAATTCTTCTCTCCGATATAGCGATGTACAACATCACTTTCTGTTCAAAATTCTATCTTATATCACAGTTCCAAGTGTTTTCGGAAAAAAACTGCGGAGCTCTAGGATCCGTTTCGTGGATGAAACACTTTTACCGATGTTCCGGATGACGTGTTTTTGAAAAACCGCGGAGCTCTAGAAACAGTTTCATGGATAGATCACTTTTACGGATGTTTCGGATGTTCTGGATCTTCCGGAGGGCGGTCCCATAGCCATCCGGGTCCGTGTTTATGACACGACCCCGAATCCTTTCTTATCTTTTTGATTTCGAAAAAAAAACGCGTATCAGTTTCATGGACTGACCACTTTTACAGGTGTTCCGGATCTTCCGGAGGATGGCCCCATTCTTATAGCACTGTTCGTAATGTTTTTGAAAAAAAAAACTGTGGAGCTCTAGGATCAGTTTCATGGATTGACCATTTTTACGGATGTTCAGGATCTTCCAAAGAACGGTCCCATGGCCGTCCAGGTTCATGCTTTTCTTCTCCTTGATTTTTTATCCGTCGATCTTGTTTTTCGTGCTGTGCACCAATGCTACCGACGGCCAGGGAGGCAGCTCCCACACCTGGACCCTACTTATTGACCCATCAACTCATGAACCGGGGACCAACAAGATTCTTCCGAAAGAATCAGGCGTGATAAGAGATGTTATGCCTTAGAACATCCCAGCGGCGCCGACTGGGATTGAACCAAGGCCTGCTGGGGTGAGAGGTAATCACGCTTACCACTACACCACCGTTCGGTTCATGTTTATGTCACCACCTCATGGGGGCATATCTGGGGCCTCATAGGCATAGCCTAGTCAGTAAAGGCACGGTATTACCAAGCCGGAGGCGGCGGGTCCGATACCTTTCGGGTTGGAAATTTTCTCGACTCCCTTAGGCATAGAGTATCATTGTGCTTGCCACATAATATACAAATTCATGCATTGGTATTGACATCGAAAGCTCTCAATTAATAACTGTGGAAGTGCATTTAGAACACTAAGTTGAGAGCACGCAATAAGCTAATATGCACTAAGCAATAAGCTTGAAATGCGAATAAGAAGAAGTTTTCAGAAAAACCGCGGAATTCTAGGATCAGTTTCATTCACTCCAAATTCTTTCTTATATCACAGTTACAAAGTGTTTTAGAAAAAAACGCAGTGCTCTAGGATTGATTTTTAGGGGTATTTGAGATCTTCCGAAGGACGGTTCCATGATTATAAAGGCACATGTTTATTCACGATCCCAAATTAATTCTTATTTCACAGTTCCTGATGCTTTTGAAAAAGCTGCGGAGCTCTAAGATCAGTTTAATGGATTTATCACTTTTACGGATGTTCCGGATCTTCCAGAGGACGGTCCTATTTTTCTTATATCACAGCTATAGGTGTTTTCGAAAAACCGCGGATCTCTAGGATCAGTTTCGTGGATTGACCACGTTACGGATGTTCCGGATCATCCAGAGGACCGCTCCGTTGCTTCCAGGATCCACATATAAGAGCCATGACTGCATTTTGGCTAATTATAAATATATAAAAAATTAAAGTTTGACCAATACATCCGGACGTGAAAATCTCTATACATCTAAAGCGGACGTTGCACATTCACAATAATTGTATTAAACCACTTGCTAAATCCATAAACACGCCTTAAAAAAAAACGTGTGACGACTCCTTTCGCTTTAAAAAAAGTAGACAACCCTATTTTCAATCATTTTTCAATCAAAATAGTGTACGGACCCGAGGCATTCTAGTGGTATCACAGTTTTAGAAATTACGTTACGTTACGTTACACGTTTTTCGGAGGCTTCGTAGTCGGCGCAAAGTTTTTTACCCACCGTGTTCGGAGACTTAATCATTCTATTTTCAATAATTAAATGTCATGATTACCTGAGAAATTTGAAATAATGTGTATATAATGAAACCGTGCACCGAAGAATGTAATGATGGGATGTGATTATGATTTGTTCCAATTTGACAAATCATTCAATGAGACGCTGATTGAAGAAAAGTGACCTGTCAACAACGATCGTCACAGTAATCTTAAATTTCATGGCACGAGCAATACGTGTGATGGTTATTTACTGGCTTTTTCGGTTGATTAAAAACCCTGTAAAAAACTACTGATCCCAGTAGTCCTTGTGTGTGCTTTATGCATTGCTTGTCTCAAAATCTTACAACCACCCTTAGAGAGTGACATAATAATTGTATCACCCCAATATAAAGATCTTACTTAACTTGAATTACCTTCAAGGCGTTAATATTTGAAATCACATTTACCATATACATTCAACGGAAAAGGATTGCACTAGTAAGCGCAAGTCATAAAGCATTTGTGGCCCATTAAATCAATTATATTACCTCATCTGCATTATTCATGAACATCCTCATTAGCTTCAAATTCAATTGTAATTATTGTCATTTCAATACTGGGCTCTGCTGTAAGCAGCCATACACGACAGCATTCATGTGAAGCTGCACATAAGTCAAACAACAGCAACAATCTTAAACACCCCCACCACACAAGGCATTTGCTAATCCTTAATCCAAACACTGTCCCTTTTGTGCCTTTAGAGCAAACCACTTAGCTTCGGTGCGAATCAGAACAAATTACATCAACAACAAACCACCCATCATCGATCACCAAAGGAAAATGCAAACTGGGCGTGAGGAATGTAGGTGATGATCATACGGCACGCGAGGCACAACTTGAGACATCATTTGCCAACAACCACCACCATCACACAGAAGAGAAAAAAGAAACCCAAAGAAGACGCGCACGTGAGTATATGGCCACCTAAACCGAGAGCACTCCACGGCCGTAATCGCCCAAAACAATAAAAACGCCGGTACAATTTCTGGGTTTGTTTACATGTTTTGCACTTGGGCAAGCACCAACAACAACCCAAAAAAAACCTCACGTTCAATAGAGCAAGAAATCAAAATCTCGGAAGAACTCGGCCAAATCATTACTCACCTTCGTATTCTTTCACCAACTTCGCAGCACTGAAGGCTTGTGGATCGTTCTCCATGATGAGTTTGATTGTTTCCGATTTTTTAATGTTCACTTCTGGTATTTTTAGATTTGAATGGGCTACTGCTCAGGAACTGCGGCGCCTTTTCTCGCGAATTGACCGATTGTTAGAACTTTTTCTTCTTCTGTTTCTGCTTGGTAATTGCGGGAGATTGTCAAAACAACAGCACGCGCCTCTAAGTATGCCGATACACGTAAGGAACGAGGTTCACAACAGCCTCACTGACGTCGTGATCGCTCGATCGGTGAAAGGAAAACAAGTCGTTGTTTTCCCAAAAAGTGACACGAGTTCTATTTATATGCGAGAACAGGTCCACTTGATCGTTGATCGTTGTTTCTGTTTCGCCGATTTTCCACAACAATCGCAAATGCCCTGTAGTAGGCGGTGATTATCCGCGGCTTTAATTAGAACGCGGTGCCACTTTCCATTGAATGGCCTATTGTTCAACTGACTTAAGTATGGTCAGTGCTGCACTCTCACTTGCATTGTTCTGATTTCTAATTCGATCAAAAGTGGGTTCTGCGTTCCAAGATTTCGAACAGATTAGCACGCCACTCGCAAATCACTTTCTTCGTTGGAATGCTATTATCTTGTCACTCTTGATCGTTAGATTCCAACTGTCTCAATTCTTCGCTGCTGTCCAAGATCCGAGGAGATCTTGACCGAATGTGTCCTGCTTGCTTCTTAACTGAACTGAATCGGTGATCGTCTGGTGCAAGACTGAAAAAAATCGCGCCCGTCGCTGTCTAGCTACTAAGATGCGAGCCGATGACGGTGGCGGTTAGTATACTGTGGCTGGTGCTCTCTGCTTTGTGGATATTAACGCCGATGATGACGATGATCGCCGTCAGCATCATCATGATCATCGTCATTGTCGCGGTAATGATTGTTCTTCGGTATCGAGCGCGCGCATTCACTCTCGCGCTAGCAGCCTGAGAAAAAACACGTGGTGCTCTCAATTTTGAATGAACCAGGCGAGTGAGTGCTGGGTCCATATGCTAGTACATGCATTTTATTTGTTTGCATTTCTACTTTTTGCATTGGAGGAAACGAGATGTATTTTGAAAATATGTGCAGGTCATACGAATTGTAACACTGCGTAGGCAGCATGTTACGTTTGACAGCGTATTTAACACAATTTTACCCATTTCAACGCATAAAGGGTGTCCACGATGAAATTGCCACACACAAAATTGATTCGCAAAATTCGAGTTTTCATCCGATTGCCATCAAATTTTCAGGGATTGAGAAATAACTATTAAACTTCATTTTACCATTTTACTCATATTTTATTTACAGTCCATACGCAAATGCCCGCACCTTGGCCTTAACCCCGGCCATAAGATTCTGCACAACCTGTGAGTCAACCGTTTTTTGCATGTAAACCCATACTTTCTTCAGTTCCTCGACTGTCTTCACTACCTTAGGTCGTTTAAGAAGGTGCTGCTTCATAATCACCCAGTACTTCTCGATGGGGCGGAGCTCCGGAGTGTTGGGAGGGTTGAACATTTTCGGCACGAAATTGACCTTATTGTCCGCATACCACTTCAGCACGTCCTTGGAGTAGTGGCATGAGGCCAAATCCGGCCAGAAGATTGTTGGGACGTTGTGGGCCTTCAGGAGAGGAAGCAGCCGCTTCTGGAGGCACTCTTTTATGTACACCTGTCCGTTCATCGTGTCCTGGGTCACGAAAGGTGCACTCCGCTTCCCGCACGTGCAGATGGCTTGCCAAACCAGGAATTTCTTCGCAAATTTGGCACATCTTCTGAGTGCGGACATGCTCCGGAACGCTGAACTTATCCTTGGCCGTGAAAAACAGGTTGCCGGGGATCTGTTTGAAGTCAGCCTTCACATATGTTTCGTCGTCCATGATGCAGCATTCAACTTTCGTCAGCATGTTGAGGTACAACTTCCTGGCACGGGTTTTGGCGGACTTGTTCTGCTTCTCGTCGCGATTAGGGGCCTTTTGTACCTTGAACGTTCGAAGCCCAGCCTTAGTTTTGGCCTTCTGGACAAAACTTCGGCTTAGGTGCAGCTTCTTAGCCACATCCCTAACGGAGGCGTTCGGATTTCGGTTGAAGGCCCCAACTACGCGGTTGTGATTTTTGGTGTTGTACGGAATACTTTTTCCTTCACTTCTGGGCTTCCGATCGGTGGTCAACCGTTCCTCGAACCGCTTAATCACTCGCGACACCGTGGAATTCGCGATTCCCAACGTTTTAGCGATGGAACGATGCGAGAGATCCTTGTTCTCGTGATGAATGCGCAAGATTTTATCACGCACGAGCTGTTCTTTCGACTCCATTTCCGAGTTTTGATCACAGGACTTTAAAAATTGCAGGATGTAAATAATGCACTATGAACTAAATCCACCCAAATTTTCATTAAATTCTACCCAACGGTTAAAAAGTTAGAGCAATTTCATAGTGTGGCAATTTCATCGTGGACACCCTTTACATTACTTTACCTTCAAGCTCCCCCTTTATCATGTGCATGTGCATGTTTTAGAAGCAGCGCACAGCGGGGCAATCCCCGTACAAAAAACGGTCGAAATTAGATGTTTTGTTTAAATTCGTAACCAACATACTTTTTAAGTGATTTGATGCTCCTCAACAGTGCTGTCATGGTAAATTGAGGGCTGGTTACTCGCTGAATTTTCATATGTGCGCCCCCGACTACCTTAAATGCATATGTAAATAGCATGTGCAAATGCATGTGTTAAATAGCTCGTCGTCATTATCTTTAAGAGATCGAGCATTCCAATTTAAAATATTTAATGCTTTAAAATCCATTACTGAATTATAAAGTCATGGAAATATTATTTGCAAACTTTACTCCAGTTTCAATAGCATCAAACAAGGAGTTAGATTTAAGCATATCAGAAATCATATCAATTAATGATTTCTGTAAAAATTCCATTTTAGGGGCAGTAATGCTTCCTAAGCCAAAATTGTCAAAATTTCCGTTAGAATTACGTTGGTTAGTATTTTGATTTCTATCCGTTAGCAATAGCAGCATAGGTAGCTCCATTAACTCGCTGAACATTGTTAGCAGCCAGGGGAGTAGGTACAGATGACAAATTTGAAGCAGGGGTGATATTTGTACCTACGGGTACGAATGTAGAATTTGTTCCTCGCTGACCGTTGTTAACAGCAGAGTAATTTGTACCTGGTCGGAACGTGGAGCGTTTCCTACCTGTAGCTTAGAACGAGATTGAAGGATCGCTTTGCGAGTCTTACATTCCCAAAAATTGGATTTGTGTTTTTCACCACAATTTGAACATTTAAATTTCTAGCTAGCTTTTTCCAAGACCTAAAGGTTGCTTAGTTCACTAGACTTGAAGTGAACTAAATAAAAATCATTAGAAATCCCGTTGCGTGAATCGCCAGGACGGGATTTCATTTTCATTTTGATTACTTGGAGTGGCTCAACTCCAAGTAATTTTGCCAGTTCATCTTTGATCTGATCCAGGGATTCACCACTGGGCAGTCCTTTCATGATAACCATGACAACCAATTTTACAGGTTGAGCACTGAAAAGTGCTGTTTAAATTTGTTGTAGCTTTAGGTAGTAGTAACACTTCCTTCAGCAAAAAGCAAATAGATCCGCACGGCAAGAGAGCACGATGCGGACTGACTACGCAACAAGATAGACGCACATTTTTGCCTAACCCGTACGATGTACGCGGGGACTTGAAGTATGTCTCCAAGTCCACAGGCAAAAATGTGCGTCTATCTTGAAAAACTGACGCATTAATGGCCCTTCGCTCATTTTCAACTTCTATTCAATTTTCATACTGCCGTACTCTAACGGAACTATCCACCTACCCTCTTCTAAAGATCATTCTCTAGCTAATAAATCATCACACTAAAGCTTCATGTTAGCATTTCCAACCAACCCTTTAATGACTATTTCGTCGAGAGCGTTTCACTGATCAATCAATCTATTGAACTGATCAATGAACCGGACGAAATAAAACTGCCGATTAATAGTAAATGTAGATTTAATGGTTTTCACCCAATTACATTAGATGAACTTAAAAATATTTGCTTTTCATTAGGAAAATCGGCTGGAGTAGATAATGTTAATGCTAGAGTTATTCAAGATTGCTTTCATGTCATTCGACACACTCTGCGGGACCTTATTAATCAATCATTGCAATCTGGGCACGTGCCGCATATTTGGAAAGAATCTTTAGTTGTTCCTATACAAAAAGTTGCTGGGACGATTAAAGCCGAAGAGTTTCGTCCCATCAACATGTTGCACACATTAGAGAAAATTTTGGAACTTGTTGTAAAAGGCCAGCTGTTAGAATATTTAAATAGTAACTGTTTGTTGATACCGGAACAATCGGGATACCGGGAAGGCCATTCTTGTGAAACCGCGTTAAACTTAGTGTTAGCTAAATGGAAAGAAAATTTGGAGTATAAAGATACGATTGTTGCTGTGTTTTTGGATCTAAAACGCGCTTTTGAGACAATTTCTAGGCCCTTATTGTTGAGAACAATCAAGCGCTTTGGAATTTCGGGTTCTGCATACAAATGGTTTGAAAGCTATTTATCTGACAGAACACAAAGGACTGTTTTTAATGATGTTGTATCTTGTCCCTTTAACAATGACCTTGGAGTGCCTCAGGGGAGTGTATTAGGGCCCCTTTTATTTATTATGTATATTAATGACATGCGACGAGTTTTACGGTTTTGTGATATTAATCTTTTTGCTGACGATACTGTGTTATTCATTGCAGCTAATGATTTAGAAGAAGTCGTTTCACGCTTTAATGAAGATTTGCGTTCTCTAAGTAGATTCTAAATTCATGGTAATTTCCGCGGAATCGTGTAGATGACGATGCCTCTGTTGTTATTGATGATTAGACACTTGATCGCGTTCAGGAAATTAAATATCTTGGCTTGATTATTGATGACAAACTCAAGTTCAATTCTCATATTGACAATGTCATCAAGAAAATTGCCAAGAAGTATGGAATCCTATGTCGCTTGAAAAACGATTTAACTATTGGTAGTAAAATACAGTTATACAAATCAATCATCTCCCCTCATCTAGACTTTTGCCCTTCCATTTTATTTTTGGCCAATGAAACACAAATCTCGAGATTACAGCGTTTGCAGAATAAAGTAAAGTCTTGATTTTAAGATGTAATAGATTCACTTCCTCAACTTTTATGCTGGACGCTTTGCAATGGCTGTCAGTGAAACAAAGAATTGTGTTTTTGACTATGGTGTTCATTTTTAAAGTAGTTAACGGTTTGCTGCCTCGATATTTGTGTGATCGGATTGAAAGAGGAAGTGATTTTCATAGATATAACACTAGAAACGCGGATGAAGTAAGAACACCACATCTTTTGAATAATGCTTCACAAAATTCATTATTTTTCAAAGGTATAAATGTTTTCAGTTCGATGCCTAGACACATCAAGCGTGCAACTACACTTACAGAATTCAAGAGACGCTGCATTTCACATGTAAAAGCTGTTTATTGAGCAGTTAAATTTTTATGAATGGATAAATCATGTATCTTGACAAAGTTATCACTAACGGATTATTTTGTATGAAGACTGTCATCAAGACATTTTAGTAATTTGTGTAGCATATACAAAAAAACTACATTGTTTGCCTCGATGCTGATGATGGATTTTTAGTTTTTTTGATTTTGTAGTAGTAATAGTAAAAATAACTTTGAGTAGTCTACAATGGTTTGAGCCTCGCGCGCGGA